GAACGCCGAAGATCAAGTTGAAGTTGTGGAACTTCTCCTCCCGAGGGCAGAAGGTCACCTCTATCGGCACCCGGCCGTTGGGAGGGAGGAGGGCGGACGTCGGGCTTACTTCCAGGACCGCTCGTCTGCGGGGGTCGTCGTCCACCTGATGGCGGGCGGTACCGTAGTGCAAAATGGGGGGGGGGGGAGGGGATAGCGTTGCACAGTGGGAAACAGGACTCCGCCTATCAAGTTTCCACCGTATGGTGATGGTTGCCGTTAGGTCGTGGAACATGGATAGAAATGCGTCCACGAGATGGTGTGATGCAGAACGCCGGCCAGCTCTATCATTGCTACACATGCCGCACCTGAGCCATGCCGAGCGAGTTCTTGTCGAACACGAAGCTGTGCGGCATGGCCTCGCGGTTGACGATGTGGAACGTCTCCTTCAGGGCCGCGCCGAGCATTAGGGCACCGTAGTCCAGCTTGGTCCGGTCGACGGCAATGTCGGGCTCCACGACGCCTCCCGCGAACAGGAACAGCTCACTCACCCCGTGCTCCGGGATTCTGAAACGGTAGAAAGCCTGCGATGGTGGTGGTGGTTATGATGGTTAGTGAGATTGTTACAAACGGTGTGTGTGGTACGTAGGAAACTAGGCGTGGAGTAGGTGGCGTCGACGAAGTGTTGTGTGAATTGCCAGACTAGAATAAGCTTGAACTCAGAGCAAGGATCAAAGGCTCTTAAACCTTAGCAAAGCTTGTCACTGTGGTTTTGCACGCGGTTGCGTGAGATACCGAAGTTTGTATTGAGTATCTTCCATGAAAAATATCAGTTGTTTATCAAGCAAGATATTTGACTTGATTTATCACTACGATGTCTTGCCTTGCTATACGATACATCTGCCTCACGAAAAACGGCCAAGTCCGTCTCGAAGAAGAAACCCTTACATTGATTCTGCCCTCTCCCCAATGTTGAAACAGCAGAACCTGAACCACTTTTCGCAATGGTACTGTATGTTTCAAGTAGTCTCAAGGATGCTTGCATACCCATCTTGCAGCCTCTGGAAGTACAAACATAAATATTTCACATGTTCTCCTTCTTCTCAGCACACAGTAAAGCTTGTTTCGTGAACCCTATACTTCAAGTGGAGAGGAGCTCCTCGGCTAACATCCCATCGAGAGTTTGGCGTAATACATGCCCCCTGTCCAGCGCAAGCGTACATCTAAAACAAGCTAGAAAAAAACGGTTTGCGCCAGGGCAACTACTTCGCTCTCTTGTTTTAAGCTAAGGCGCACCTCGGCGACCTCCATGTCGTCCGGAGTGTACTCGAAGACCATCTCTCCCCTCTTTCCCGCGAGAATCATGCCTCGCTGGGTGACGCAACGCCAAGACGGGTGCGGGTTCCCCTGGCTCTCCCAGCTGAAGTCGTACCCTACGTTGGTCGGGTTTACAACGTAGAACCTGGACGAACAAACGCACCGATAGAAGCGGTTTCGTGGTGCACAACACCAACCACAAAGAAAAAATCGAAAAAAGGCGTGGAAACCATCCCAAGACACTTTCCAAAGTGCCGATACCGCCAACGTAAATGGGCGTGTACTATTTGTCTTGCTGTTCGCACTACGCAATGGTCAGGCCAGATTTGCTTTTACGAGATTCTTGAATCCAAACGCCCTACACTCAGGAAGAGTTGCACGTCCCACGGCTTGTGTGCTGTTGGACTCGTTTCGAACAGACCTGTTCTTCTTACGGAAACCCTAATCCACATCGAACTGTCCGAAACGAACACAAGAGAGAGCATGGAAGCACACCTCTTCGTGTTGCGCACGTGTGTCCCCCGGCTTGTGACCTCCAGCACCCTCACAGAAGCCGCTTCGATCGCCAAACCCTGTTTTGCCATGAAAATACCAATAAAGGCATTGGGGTGCCCGATCGCCGCGTTGACAAGTATACAGCCGGTGTGATCTGTGATCCATTATCGTTGTCCAAACTAGGCGGTACGCGTCGGATTCCCTATGAAAGGCGAGAAGAAAGAGAGACGAAGCCTTGGAAACTGTCGGAAAGACTCACCATGGTGTCAGAGCTTACAACAAGAAACTCTACCTGGCGCGTTCACCAATCAAAGTGTGGTGTGTCGTACAGAGCACGTCACATGCGAATGGAATTACCGCACCGCACCCGCATCCAGGCACCTGTTTGTTTCCCCGCCCGTGGGCCCCAAGCAGCGAATGTTATGCCGCTCACCTGCTGCCCGAGGTCGTTTGCCAGCAGGTGGCTCTGCCGCCTCTGGAGGTAGTCCGGTGAGTCCTGGAGTGCAAAGTGGCACACGGGTCTCAGAGACCTGCCGCGAAGCGTCATGCTCAGGGGGGGCTGATTCGTCGGGAGCGTCGGCATCCTGGCTGAGAGCGCGTACAAAAAGTCGTCCACCTGTGTGTGAAAAAAAAAGACAGTGGGAGAGGGTGTTCATCTTCGAGAATGATTCCGTAGTGGCGCCAGCGTAGCAAACTATACCCAACAACGCAAACCAAGATGCAGCTCCGGGGGCATGGTCGATCTCAAAACAAGATGAACATCTCAATCACTGGTCCCAGATTCTCAGGATGGCGGCGTGCCCTTTCTGTAGGAAAGGTAAAGGAGCATGAGCACACACCTCTTGTGGAGCGAAGCGAACAGCAAAAGACTGCTCCCCTCCCGCCTCGATGTCCCCCGAGTACGGCTCCACGGAAAACGGACACGGGGTGATGAACTTCGCCCCTCCCCCGGCACCAGCATCTAGGTCCATCAACGCCAACGACCTGCTAGTAAGCAGTTGGCTCCCCGGCCGACCGGCAGAGCCGTCCCTCGCAAAGCTGCGCCGGTTCGCCAGCGACCACTCGTACGGCAGCCGCGTGGTCCCCGGGTTCCTGACGGTGAACGCGTGCACCCGGCACTGGAACATGGCCGTGTTGCTGAAGGCCACGACCGAGCTCCCTTCCGGCACGCCGTCCACGACCTCGAACCGCGCGCGGTCGGCCACGCCGGAGCACCGCAGGGGTCTCTTCGATGGGATCGTGCCCTCCACGGGCTCGAACCTCGGCTCCGGCTGCACCGCGTACACCATCTGCACGCCCCCGTCCGACAGGGGGCCCCGCCTCAGCGTCGGGGCCGCCGGGATCTCCGGGGGCGGCGGCTCCTTCCCTTTCTTGGCCCCCTTCTTGGGCTTGTCGGGCGCGTCCGGCTTCGAAGCCGCAGCCTCCTCCTGAAGCAGGACCGCCATGTCCTCCTCCGTGGCCTCTCGCAGCTGTGTCTTGGAGTCGTCCCACTCTAGGTCCACGCGCTGGGACGTGCGGCGCTCGTGGAGCTCCTGCTGCTGCTGCTGCTGCTGCCGGCCTTGCGAAGCAGCAGGGTCGTCTCCGCTCCCTTCGGCGGCATCGGGCTCCGGGTACCTGATCTTCTGCGTGACGAACTCTACCGGCTCGTTGTCGTACTTGACCGGCTCCGAGGGGTGAAACGTGGCCCGTATCTCACGGCGGCTGCCCACCGGGAGATGCCCAACGCTCGGAGAAAACTTGAAGTGCTTGTGGTTGGCAAACAAGAAACGGCACGGGAAACTTCCCTGGTTACGCACGCAGAAGGTGATCTCCTTGCCCCCAACGGCTTCGTCCGCCCCGGCGTCCGCGGCGGCCGAAGCGACGGCGCCTGCCCCGTCACCACCGCCACCGCTCGCCACCTTTGCGGTCTTGTTGGTTAGAGCAGCTTCCGCGTCTTCCGCGTCGGGTGGTGGAGGGTCGAGGATGTCGACTTGGTCGAACGTGATCTCGTCCGCGACCGACGCCCCCGGGAGCTCGTCGAAAACGACGTCGTGGCTGAGGCACGTGCCGGACAGCTTGAACACGGCCGCGTCGAAAGGGTTGTGGAGGACGGTCATCTTGAGGTCCTGGCTCAGGGGCTCGGGCTCGCCCTCCTTGGGCTTACACCGGGGCTGGAAAACCACCTCCATCGCCTTCCTTTCCTTGGGTTGCAGGGTCACGGAGCCTCCCGCGGCCGCGAACAGGAAGTCTCCCTTCCGCTGACGGTTTTGCTTCTTGATCACCGACTCCGCCGCGGGGGTACCGCCGCCTTCCCGCGCGTCAGGGAGTTCCAGCTCGAAGAGGCAGGACACGGGCAAGATGCCATCGTTCCGGAGGACCAGCGGGAGGCGGCGAGACTTCCTCGCGCAGACCTCTCCGAAGTCCATGATCACCGCGCCCGATTGGTCTCTGACCAGGGGACTCTCCAGGGTCACCGTCGGCATGGTGCCCTTGCCGGACAACAGGAAGCTTAGTTTTCCCGTAGAAGCGTCGTCGTTGTCCGACACAACGGCCTCGAACTGGCAGCGGTAAGACCGCATCTCCGTCGGTCGGAAGTAGGCCGACACGTAGCGGTGCTCGTGCGGCGGAATGTCCCACGCTTCGGGGTGGACGGCGAAGGCGGCCACGTCCGCCTCCCCCGGAGCTGGTTCTTCCTCTGCCGCCTTCCCCCCTTTTCCTTTCTTGGCCTTGGGGTCCACGGGCGCCGGATCGCTGTCGTTCGGACCGGCCGCCGGGGAGATGGCGAACTTGACAGTGCAGGGAATCTTGTTGCTGTTGCTGATCTTGAACCGCTCGCAGATGCCGACCGGAACTTGGCTGGACACCACGCTCCCGAAGGTAAACATGAGCTGCTCTATCGCGAAGCAGACCCTTCCTCCCGCCCTTCCACCAGCGGCACCACTCCCTCCGCCCGCCCCGTCTCCGCCGCCACCTCCGCCGCGGCCTTTCCCCCCGGCTGTCGCCGCCGCTGCGGCCGCCCAATCATCATCCATGACGTCGGCAAGGGACGGGATCACCGACTGCTCCTCGAAGATGTCCCGCCAGTCCGAGGTAACGATCCCCGGCACGCACGACTCGGCGAGGAGGTCGTACGACGCGGCCAGGGCGCACGCCCCGTCGGAAGGGTCCGATCCCGAGACCTTCAGGCACAGGCTCTCGCGGTGGGCGTTTGCGTTCTCCGGGCTGTACCGCACCGTGACGCTTACGCTCTGGCCCGGCTGCACCAGCCCCCCGGAGGGGGCGACGTAGAATCTCCCGAGCGAGATGGGGTCGTCTGGAACCTCGAGAGCGGGCTTAACGGCCCCCTTCGATCCCTTCCGACCGGCCGGGGCGACCGTGGCCCCTTTTCCTTTACCCTTCGCGCCGCCCTTTTCGGGGACGGCGGCGGCGGCCGTCGTTTCGCTCTCCTTCTGAGCTTGTTCGTCCGGCGGTAGCAGCGCGTTGGGGGTTGCCTCCCGGATCGCGGCTTCGTGCGGCGCCGACGGAAGCCCCTTCCCTTGCACCGCGAAGGCGAACTCGAACTCGCCCTCGTTCTTGAGTTCGAAGGTCTTGGTCATGCTGTCCGCGTTGAAGGCCACCGGGCCGAAGTTGATGCCCCGGCGGGGCTGCAGCCGGAAGCGGCTCCAGGTCGAGATGGCGGAGGCGACCACCGAGAACTCCTCCACGGCCTCCCCTGTGTGGGGCTCCGTGATGACGCAGCGGATGTCCCGGTTGTCCTTGAGGTGGGTCTCCTCCCTGCTACAGAACGTCACGCACACTTCCACCGCCTGGCCGGGCTCGACAACCCCCTGGGAGGGTTCCACCTTGAAGAGAGACGCCGCGATGCCTCGCCTCATCCGGAAAGCGAAAGCAATTTTGTACTTCCCCCGGTTCCGGAGCGTGAAACGCTCGTTCGCGGAGTCCCCGACCCGCTTCCTCCCAAAGTCCAGCGACCCATCGTTCTTTCGAGGCGGCCGCTGCTCGACCGCCGCCGGCGCCGGTGCAGCTTCCGCCGCGGAAGTGACATCGTTGGTGCTACCCTTGCGGCCGCCCTTCTCCGCTTTTCCGGTCGCTGCTTTCCCGTTCGCCGCCGCCGCCGCCGCCGCCGCCGCCGCGTCCGCCGCGTCCGCCGCCTCTTGCTCGGCGTGGGCCGCCTCGTCGGGAGTCTCGAAGGCGACCGCCCGGATGCGATACGCCTCGGCTACGATCTTCACCTCCTGCCGGACCACTCTTCCCCCGACTCCTCCTTGCCGCCCTTCCTCCGCCGCCCCGAAACCGACCTCGTCGTCGGTGTACTCGATCGCGACGGTGGGCTCGAACACCCCTTCCTTCCCCGCCGAGAACATTACCGTCACCCTGGCCGTGCCCCCCACCTCCACTACCCCCTCCGTGGCGCTGCCGGGCATTACCCGGAAGTCGTCCGGGTTTTCCAGGAACACCGGGTGGGAGGCGTCCACTCTCCACCGGCACGGCACCTGGCAGGCGTTCCGGACGACGAAGTCGCGGGACTCTACGCGTCCCAGCAACAGCCGGTCGAAGTCGATCACGGCGCCCCTCTCCTTGGCCTGGCGAACGCGCTCCTCCGCTTCCGACAAGGCGGCCTCCAGCTCTGCACGCGCCGCCGCCGGGGCATCCTCCGGCAAGTCCTGTTGGCGCCGACCATTTTTGAATAGTTGGTCAGCTCGGTGGTGGATCTTTCAAGCCCTACTGGCTGTAGTTGGCGTGTGATTAGTTTTAGGTATGTCTTAATACAACTGTCTCTTTCTCGCGATAACATGCTCGTCGAACGCTCCGCCTCACGATTGCCCAGACTTCTCAAACGCCGTTTGTATCGTCGACGAAAAACTTCTCCAGAACTTGGTTGGTTCAGTTTAGCAACACAACTGATAACTGTCTGAACGAAAACAGTACGGATTGTGAACTGGATGGCTAAAACTGAAGTTTCTGCCCTCTCACCTCCGGACTGCCCAGCTCCTCCAGGGCCGCTTGCGCCGCCGGCAAAAGCTTATCCCAGGGCCCCTCTAGGACCATCGAGGGGGCCGCACCAGAGCACGACACTGGGAACAGTACGGGCCGAGGGTTGTCCGTGAGGCACGCGATGAGGGTGTCCTTGTACTCCTTCACCTCGGTGGGGAAAGCCCACACCCGTACCTCAGTCGTCTCGCCGATGGCCAGCTCCAGGGTCTCGGGTTCCACGTAGAACGTTCTGCGCTTGGACGACCCTTGTAGACCATGCCCATCACCGTGGTCCGAGTCTCTTCGGTCGGCTGCGGCGGTCGCCGGGGCAGCCAGAGCCCCGCCTTTACCACCCCCGGCGGCCTGTTGCGGGGTTGCGGTGGTCGTGGCCGCGGCGGCGGCAGTCTCGTCCGCAGAAACGGAAGACTTGTCCTTACGATGTCGTAGAAGAAATTTCCACGATACAAGAGAGTGCAGGGGGTTAGTTGACTACCGCGGTTGGTCTTTCACCGGAGAATGCGTACTCAAGCCGTACGATAGCGTAGGGTCGTGTCCTGCATATTCATCATGTTCTAGTGGGGGGTTGGTTGTAGGAGGTCGAAAGGAACACCTTCATCAAGTACAGGCATGCTCTACACCCAATCCAGCCCCGGAACACCAAAATGTTTTCAATTGTTTTTTGCATTGTTGAGTTCTTCGGCGGGCAGCCCGTTTACCTGCGGCTGTTTCTCGAAAGCCCAGAGATACCTTGACCGGAAACTTTCCGTCATTTGATAGCCGGAAGGTTTCGGCGTTAGTCTTGACGAGGGTGGCACGGGCCTCCTCCTTGGAGCGGGCCTTTGCCAGCAGTTTCTCCCCTCCTCCAGCCCCCCCGGCCGCCACAGCCGCCTTTTCCTCCGATGTCAACTTCGGCGGTACTCTTCGTTCGTTATGTTGATAGGTGTTGTCCAGACCGGAGGGTCAAGTACGCAAGGGGGAGTCACGGCCAATGATTGGGGTCAGGGGGGGGGGGGGGGATGTACATTCCAAGACGCTAGAGTACAAGCCGAAAAGGGTGAAGATAAGACCAACAGAACGCAATTCAGATGTCTTCCTCTTTCTCTTCTCCCCGTTCAATGATTGCCGAATCGGTAGCCTCATCCTGCCACCTACCCCTCAGCCTTACCTGTTTTCCGCCCTTTTCCAGGTCAGCAGCGGGCCGAACTCGTACTGACCCCTCGAGGCGACGAAGCGCTTGCTAACCGGCGGCACGGCGCCCTCCGCCCGGTGCTTGACCCTCCTCATGAACACGTTTCTGGGGTCGGAGTTTATGGAGGGGAAGGCGCACGTGCCAGAGACATGAAGGGAGTATCGCCGCCCCGTCCCGACGGCCTCGAAGGTCAGGGGGACGTCAAACACTCCAGCGCTCGAGCTGGAGAACTTGACCACGAAGCTGACGGATTCTCCGGCGCGAATCTATTTTTGTTTTGTTTTGCCCGGGAACGCACAAAGGAAAAATGAAAGAAAAAGGTGTCAACGGAGTAAAATCAAAGACAACGGTTACGCCGGGAGGATTGTGTCAGAATCCTATGTTGGTGGAGTTGGTGATTCTCACTCCTGATGAGAGAGTCGGAGTGGCCAGCAAGAAGGAAACGCAAGATGAAGTTCATCACGCACGCATGTTTCTCGTCGAGGACCTTCGCCACCTTTAGCGGGAGCACGGCCCGAAAGAAGGAAGGGTAATGTTGCCATGAAGGTCGTACATAGGGGGTGGTTTGCGAAACGACGGGACAGGGCCAGCTGACGGTATTGATTGGCTATATGAATTATTGCACACCACTAATGTGCTACAACGCATGCTCGATCTTGGAGGGCCAGAAATATTTTCACCCGATACCCACACGCGTCCAACGACATGCCCTCCTCAAGCCGATCACAAGCTCGGAGCAAGCAGGAAAGGCCACCCCTACTCTTCTGGCGGTCAAAATCCATCATTCTCTTCTCTTCCCTGCCCTCCACACTACGCCGTCAAATAATAGTATTCATAACGAGAGTCAACCCACCACCCATCTGTAGGGATTATCTCCAAGAGCTCCAGACGCAGCTCCAATGCCTTGTTCACCCTTTTCCTTCGCCGAAGCAGCCGAGTGCTCGATTTTAGGCTTACTCTCATTCCTCGCTTTGGTCGCATTGCGCGATCCCGGGCGCGACGAAGGCTGAGCCGCCTCCTCCGGGTGCAAGGGAAGGATCTCCAGCGTCTGTAACGGTTGCCGCTGCGGGCGTGGTACTGGCCTCCGCAACTGCTGCCGCACCTTGTCGGGCGGGATGGCGACAACCTTGGGGTCCGGCGCCGGTACCGCCGGCTCCGGCAGCAGCTCCCGTGCGGACTGCAAGTCCGTCTCGGCCTCGGAGTCCCCCGTCACCTCGAGGTCGATCACCCGCAACGCCGAGGCGAGAGCGGCAGCAGGCTCCCCACCGCTGGCGATCGAGTCCGTCGCTGACGACGACAAGCCTCTCGCCAGGACGGCGGCGCCGTCGTCGCCACCGTTTTGTCCGGCGACCGACTCGGATGCCAGAGAGCCTCCGGCGATAGGGCCATCGGCGAGAGAGCCGCCGTCCACGCTCCCACCACCCACAGTGGCCGCCTCTTGTTCTCCGTAGCCGCTGTCCCCGCCGCGTCCTGGTGAGCATGGGCGAGACACGGCGTTGGTGCCGCCGAGGGGAGAAGAGCTCGCGGCAAAGCGTTCGAAAACCGGCAGAACGAAGGCCACTAGATTCTGGGTGAACTCTACGAAGGGAGATGCAGTGGGGGGCGTTGCCGGTGTCTCGGCGGCTTCGTCCCGTCCAGGCTCCAGCCTATTTCGAAGCAAAACAACATGGAGAATTGAGTAATCGCCCAGCCATTGGCTAGCTTGGGGAACAGGTCCGTGCAGTGATCATTGTTGTGGACACAGAAGGTGGCTGCTTGCGTGGCACGGTGGCCTCCAGGCACGGGATTTTGGCTGAGTACAGTGAATGTGACGCGCGCGGAAGAGCACACTGTCCACGCGAGGAAGAAAACTTTCGCACAAGTTTTCCATCAAGATCTTCGCTGTACCCCTTCAAGGAACGAACGTTGTTAGGCAGTGCACCACGCAGCTAAGAGGACTGTTTATTCTGTGGTTAACCCACCCGCTCGACCCTCCGTCGGTAGCCTTGGACCCGCCACCGCCGCCTTTCTCCTTTGACGGCCCCGACGGCAACGCCGACGTTTCTGCTGGTACCGGTGCCGTTGCTGGGGTTGTCACCACCGCCGCCGCCGCCGGGGTCCGCGTGAGAAGGAGGTTAACGCGGTCCGCGGTTCTCCTGGCGCGGTTGAACTCGTCGCGGCGATGCCGTTCGTCCAAGCGAAAGTGCTCGTCACGCTGCTTGTCGTCTAGTGCCCATAGCTCCGCCTCCGACAACTCCTACGGCGCGCGAGCGTGGAAACGTGAGCGTCCGCCAGAGTATGGGTCGGTTCTTATTTGGTTATAAACCTGTATTGGAATAATGAACGTACCGACTAATTTTGGTTTGTATTTGGCGTTAAATTGGAGCCGTGGTAGATGTACTTGGTAGAATCGTTGGTGGCGGTGCAATCTGCTTCTGGTGTCGATGGTTGTCGATGGTCGAGTAGAGCGGAGTGGGATGAGCTTGCGGGAAACAAGATTTGTTGTAAATGCGTGCCCGCGATAGAGGTGTATTCATGCTCCGAGTACAAGCGTTACCAGCGTACAATAAACAGGTGCGGTGATAGCGGAGAATATTGTACCTCTCCTCCCTCCGAAAATCCTCTTCCGGCCGGGAAAGCGAATCAAGAAGAGGCTACCCCGTGTGCCCTACCTTCCAGACAGGCAGCGGAACGCAATCCCCATTTCCATCCCATTCCGGCTCCTCGACGTCCATCGGCCGCGGCATCGGCACACCTCTGGTGGTATCTGCCGCCCCCGCCGCTCCTTCTCCTCCGGTTTCCTCGGCCTTACCGTCACCGCCGACGAGAAGCACGTTGTCCCCCTCCCCGACAGTCACAGCTGCATCGCCGTCCTTATCTTCGCCGTCGTCTCCCATCATGTCCAACTCGCCGCTACTGGTGCTGGGTCGAGGGTTTTCTAGATCGACACCGTCGTCGGAGTAGGAGGACGGGTCCACGAACCCAAGGTCTTCGGGGGTGAGCTGTTCTTCGAACTCGTCTCCCCACAAGTCCAGGGTCTCGCCGGCCTCCCGCTTTAGACGGTCCAGGCGCGCAACGTAGCTGATGGGGGAATTGTGTGATAAAAAATGGATTTATGGTAGGGGAGGGAGGGTCGGGTTGGGGTGGATGTGGGGAGAAGGCTTGGTGCTCGGGGAACTCATGCCGTAGAAGAACAAGCAGCATGGCCACAACGAGCCTGACTCTGGCTGTGTGTGGCTGACGCAGCGACCAAGGTGAAGAGGCCAAAAAATCTCCATCCTACCGAGAATCAGCTTATATGATCGAGTGGTTTTAAGATTCAACCTTCGCGTAAGGGATTTGATTCTACAAGTTCAAGCATGCAACCCAGCCCGAAAAACAAATGTTCGTGCCAAAGCGCGCACCCGTCTTCCTCATCCTTGAAGCGGAGCACCAGCAACCGCGCCGTGGGCATGGCGCTGGACGCCGCCCTCGCAGCCACGTCGACAGCGGTGGCAGCAGCGGCACCCATCCTTGCGCCCCTCTGGCCAACCCCTTTCTTGGACATCCCAGCAGTTGCCGTGGACTTCGCGGCCAAGCGGGAGTCAAGTCCGTCCAGCACAGCACCCCGGTCACAGTCCGCCTGTGCCAAGCGCCACTGTAGCACCTCCACCAAGAGCTCGGCCGACAAGCCTTGCGGCTCCAGGAGGGCGGTAAGCGCTAGGACTGCCTGCGCGGGGCCGGCCTCGTTTGCTGCGGCTGCGGCGGCCGCGGCCGCCGCCGCTGCCTGCGCGTGCATAGCAAGGACGAGAGGGGCTGAGAAACACGCGGTCCCGTATTACCCAACGCGGTCCCGTATTACCCGATGGCAAAATGGCAACATTCAACATAAACAAGCGTGCGGCAAGCTCGTTTCCCGACTTATGGCCCGAGCGGCTGGGCGTGGAGCACCAGGGTAGGATGCTGCAATATTCAAATAAAGTGGTTGCTCTGATTCTATCGAGGTTTTAAAGGTGACAGAGTCGGATGGGGGTGGATGCAAGGCGACGAAAACCCATTAGGTTTGGGAGCAGTTGCGAAGCACGGTGAGGATGAGCAGGCACGTGGCGTTTCAGGCAGTACCGACAAATAAGACCCAACGCTTCCAATACATCGTGTCCTTTTTTCGTACAGAACGCAAGGGCATTGAAGCGTGCCATCAACGAGACAATACCCGTCCGGGAGGGTGACGTACCTTCTTGTTTCCCTTCGGGACGGGGATAGGTTCCGCAGTCTCGGCTGCTACCTTCTCCCTCGCAGCTTCAACGTCTCGGACCCAACGAGCCTGCTCATAGAAAGAGAGAGCGCTCATGAGTGCGCGCACATACGTACAATCGGTGTTTATCCAACTCCAGGCTCGAGATACAAGATGCCCAGTGCGTCCTGACCCACCAGCGAGCGCGCGAAGCAACTTGAAGCACTTACTGTGGAGTTAACACACTACACAGCTTGCCGACACTACTGACAAGTATTTCCAAGTTGGAGTTCGTGTTCATTTTCGGGGAAGGTGTGCCGTACGCACACTTCAGCACAAACCAGTTTTGGGCGTTTTGTTGCGGGAGGAGCGCGCGTCTAACTTAAAGCTCTTGGCGGACGTTTTGTGTCCTTCTCGCGTGTCCAGCGGTCTCGATTCGCTTTCCCATCGCACCAAAAATACGATGCAACGTACCTCTTCCTTTGCAGTGAACCAGTGGATGGCCTCGCGGACCCTTGCGCCGAGCTTGTTCCTCAGCCGCAGGGCCCCCCTCACGGCCCCATCCACGGTGAGCGCCGGCAGGGAATACTTCGCCCCGAGCGCTCGCGCGAGGGTAGACTTCCCGGAGAGAGGGGGTCCCGTCACCACGACGTCGTGCGCCCTGCCCTCCTCGCGGGCGGTCGGGACCCTCTCCCATTCGGGGATGCCGCCGCCGCCGCCGCTGCCGGTGTCGTGGTTGCGCTCCAGCACCTCCGCCGCGGTCTCCAGCCACGGCTCGTCGCCGTAGGCCGCCGCCGCGGCGGCCGCCGCTTCGCCGCCGTCGATACCGACACCCCTGCCGCAGCCGCCGCCGCCGCC